GCAGCAAATCAGCATATTAGAATGATTTCTGAAGGATCAGGTGACACTGAAGACTAGAGTAATGATGCTGAAAATTCAGCTTTGCATCACAGGAATAAATTATATTTTAAAAGATATTCAAATAGAAAATGGCTATTTTAAATTGTAATAATATTTCACAATACTGCTGTTTTACTGTATTTTTGATTAAATAAATGCAGCCTCAGTAAGCATAAAAATCTTCTTTCAAAAACAAAAAAACTTACCAACCCTAAACTTCTGAACAGTAGTGTATGATTATTTGACATTTCATTGTGGCCCTCTTGGAAACACATCACCTAGAAAGTTTTGTGTAATGAGTTTTATGTAAGTTCCGGAGAACACGTTCAGTAGAGGACATGAATCAATAGCAACATCTGTCTGTTGTCAAAATTCTGAGTAATTTTGAAAATGTAGAATTACTTTTACTGCAAGAGCCGTATGCGTTCTTTGACATTTAATTATGCGTGTGACAGTTTTTCCAGCACAGTGTCAAGAAATTATGTTTTATCCAAGTTGTGAGTTTGCAGTCTGAATTGAATGTGATGGCATGAAAAGAAAAGTTGTAGACAACAAGGTTATTATTAGGGATGCACCGATACCACTTTTTCCAGTACTCGCCCGATACCGATAATTTTATTTATTGTACTTGCCGATACCGAGTACCGATACCGATATTTTTATTGCATGTGATATTTTCAGAAATAGAAGTCGCGTTTTTTCATCTGAAACGTGCTGCGATTTATTTTCCAAAGCCACTCATATAATGCAGAAACACTCAAGCAAGCAAAACAAACGCAACGCCTGCACGTATTTGTACTGGTGCAGAATGAGGGGACAGTAGTAGGCTACAGCCTAGCGCATCCCTTACCAAAAAGTAGTATTCAAAAAGTGTGTTTGAAACTTGAAACTTGATACTTGAAAAAGTTCAAGTATATTTTTAAGTATACTTTATGTAGTAAGTATATGCACTGCATGTCTTTTTCTTCAAAGCACCAACTTAGAATGCCTAATGTTGGTTTGATTGCTTGTGTTACATGATAAAATAAATAATCTTGCTAACCTGATGTAATAGATTTAATGCGAGTGCGGTTCGGGTCGCGACTCATGGTCTTTATGTCAAACGGTTCTGGTCTGATACAGAATTAAATTAGTGCTGCTGTCAGATAATGGGTCGGGTGTTCTGATAAGTACTACTGGTGCACGTTTATCAAACAGGACCCGTGCAGGCTTTAAACTGCTTTGCGTCTTTCCGTCAGATAACTCCATGTGCGTGATGCGCCATTACAGGTAGGCTATTTCCCTAAACCTCCACACAGCTTGTATATTTTTCCGCCAAGGGGTGAGAACGTAATGATTACGAAAACGATTATTTTTTTTATAATTATTATTTTATTTCAGTTAGTTTTTCAATAACTGTTGTTAATTTAGTTTCGTTTTAGTTTTTCAATTATTTTGACGTTTTTATTTTATTTCAGTTTACGAAATAGTTTTTTCATCAATCGTTTTAGTCTTAGTTTTTGTTTTCGTTTACGAAAATAACCTTGGTAAACAACACGTATTTCTATTGCATTTGCTTCGCTGGCTGCATGAAAAAAAAACAGCACAGAATGAGAGGAATCTTTTAATGAATCAAACGAATCAAATCAATGGAAGAGAAATTCATTATTATGGTACTACACATACTGGTCAGGGTGCATAACAATGTTTTCTGTTTTTTAATATATATATTTAATGCAACCAAATTAATGAGTTAAATGAAATGTAGTTATAAATACATCTTACAAAAATAAAGTATGTGATTAGGACCAATTAAGACAGGGTTGCATGGGTTTCTGCAAAAAAATACAAATGAATTCTGTAGGAAACACTGGTGTGTGTGCATGCTTTATTTGATTGACAGGTCTTTTCCACTTGGCTGACACGAATTGAGAAAGTGGAAATACCGGCAGGGAGAGAGGGAACATCAGGGTTGGCGTCTCGAACAACACACTTGCACACAGAAAAAAGATTGAGGGAGAGGAAGAGGAGGCGTACATGGCCATCTATGATTTGTCCGTATTTTTTGAGAGGAAGTAAACATGGATCAGGCTGTCAAACAGACAGGTGGCCACAGAGTGGGAAAATTATCATTTTTTTTCCCGCTGAAGTGATGGTTCCGTAGCTTGGAGAAATTAGTCACCTCCACAGATGCAGAGGCACTGCAGATAAGCCATTGTCTTCTCTCTTCTTACATAATAATTCTTGACACTGTCTCAAAATGTTGCTTCGAAATCCAA